TTTTTGCTTTTCTCCAAATAGCATTTTAGAGTTTTTAAATTGTATAGGACAGTGGAGGCTGCTGAGGGGAGAACGGCTCATAATAATGGCCAGAACAGAGCAAATGGAATGGCATCAAACACCTGGAAACCATGTGTTTGATGTATTTGATACTATTCCACTGATTCCGCTCCAGTTATTACCACAAGCCTGGACTCCCCAATTAAGGTGCCACCAACCTCCTGTGGTATAGAAATGCAGTAAATGAATCCTGTATGTAATGTCCAATCAGTGAGCAGAAACAAGTTTACATGACTCGTCATATCTTTCCGTTCGGAACTCCGACCCAGTTGTCATGTCAACACAGCTGTAAGTGCTGCTGCAAACCACGACAAAAGAGACATGCCAAAAATGGGAAATGTGTAAAAAATTATAGACACCATGGTTTATGTATATGACTGGCAGTCATGACTTGTTAATATGAACCTAGACCATTCTCTGTCCAGTTTCAACTAAAATTGTCCAACATCAATGAGCTAGCTAGATAGCTTAGCTCATTGCTAGCTTGGTTAGCTAGCTAGATAGCTTGGTAAAACTTGGTTGGTAATAGGCAACATTTTGACTAGCTAGCTAAATTGTACAGCCAGCATTTTGTCTATATTGATGCTGTTACAATTACCAAACATTTGGATAAACAAATCATTTATGAAACCCTGATGTGATGTATGACAGGATTGGATGTTGCATGCAATTTCAAACGTGTTTGAATTTCTTTGTGTATCAGCAAAGATGTTTGAGATTATGTCACTTGCAACTTGCATCTGCAACAGAAATTGCGTCCAAATGACTTTGTGTGGCACAGGTTTCAGCCTATAGATCACATATTGCAAACAAATAATCTGAACATCATGTCAGTAAAGAACTCCACATATATTTTGGAATTTCTGTGTATCCTTGATAATTGTGGAGTTTGTTTTGCATGGCCCGTGCCCCGGGTGGGTGGAGATTTCACTTAAGGACCAATGGAATGGTCTAAAATGAGCAAACTCCGCCCCTTTTCCACAAACCTGCACATCATCATCTTCTCTCTTTTGTGGCACCAACGTGAGGGGTTATGGCAGGGGAAACGGTGTTGCAGTAGTCTAGTGTGTGGTGTGGGAATAATGACAAGCAAACCTGGGGACCTTTGTGTTCACATTCAACCGAACCGAACTCAGACAACCTTTCGAGATGGTCTCAGTTCGGTAACTTCGGTTCGCTTCGGGGCTTTTTTGAGGGGTCTGAGTTCACATTGCACAAAAAATTAAGTGCAAAAACACCCTTTGGATTGCAGGCATGTGCTTTGTCAGTGGCTGTGATGTAGTGTTTAGCCAGGAGTTGGGACAGTCGGAAGAAATAATGAAATAGTAGGCGGGGACATCCTAGCTTCAAGGTGTCAGATTTCACAGCAGGGAGTCACACAGGCTGAAGAGATTTTTATTTAATTTATTTCAGCTTTATTTAACCAGGTAAGCCAGTTGATATAGGGTGCATTCGAGCGGATCCCTTTTGTCAAGTCGATGGTCACCGCCTTTCAAAATGTGTTGCATTCTGGGGATAAAAATGGTCAGACTTGCACCTACATGTCAACTGCATGAACTTTACAAAAATCATGTGATCAAAGGTAATGAAGTTTTGACTGAAGTCAACTGCAAGTTTCTGCAGTTGCTCACCAATTTCATCCTGCAGCCATCAACTGCATTGCGGGAGGCTCTATTGTCAACCAATCATTAGGGTGTTTTTGTTTGACCCACGCGAACGTGACCAAAGACATGACTGAAACAGGAACCCATTTGCCGATTTATGTGTACAGTGGATATATATAAAATAAATGTGATATCTGAGGCTCTCTCTCACTAAGTGACTGTACAAAGTACACCAGGGTTGGGCTCAATTAGAATTGAAGACAGTAAATTCATGAAGTAAACTGAAATTCAAATTCAGTGATTGAAAAAATGGAATCTATTTTCAAAATGTAGGATTTTAAATCACTTCCTGAATTGACTGACTTCAATTCGAATTGAGCCTAACCATGATGTACATTTACATTTTAGTCATTTAGCAGACACTCTTATCCAGAGCAACTTACAGTAGTGAGTGCATACATTTTGGTACTTTTTCATACTGGTCCCATATGGGAATCTAACTCACAACCCTGGTGTTGCAAGTGCCATGCTGAGCCACACAGGAGGACACACATAATATTATATTATGATTTCAGTTTGTGTGTGATATGGGAGTTAGATACATGTTTACTTAAACATTATAAAGATAACCTTTTATAAACAATGACAACACTGCCATGTTGATCTGAGTCTTGCTGTTGGAAAACGACAGTGTGCAAGTGGCTATATCGTAAACATTCATGAAAACAAAAGTGTGCTTTTTGGTCTTAATTTAAGGTTAGGGTTTGGCATAAGGTTAGCAGTGTGGTTAAAGTTAGGGTTAATGTTAGGATTAGGTTTAACATCCGATTTTAAGAAGATAAATTTAAGAAAAATTTGATCTCTGTAGCTCAATTGGTAGAGCATGGCGCTTGTAACGCCAGGGTAGTGGGTTCGATCCCCGGGACCACCCATACGTAAAAATGTATGCACACATGACTGTAAGTCGCTTTGGATAAACGCGTCTGCTAAATGGCATATCAAGCTCCTTCCCACTGGGCAGCAATTGCTTCACCGGGCAGCTGTATCACGTCGCTGGTGGTAGCTAACGTGGCCAATTTGTTCCATCCGATTATACAGTATAAAACGAACTTGTAATATATTGGTAGTAAGTAACTATCTGGATGTCATAGTGATACAGTCTACTGCTCAACGGGGAAAGTTAGCGCTGCAAGCCGGCAACACAACAACACAGGGCACAGTAGGAGAGGGATGTACAGTAGCTTGATAGTGTAGCCAATAAACACTGCTCCAAAATATAAAGGGAACACTAAAATAACACATCCTAGATCTGAATGAATGAAATAATCTTATTAAATAACTTTTTCTTTACATAGTTGAATGTGCTGACAACAAAATCACACAAAAATTATCAATGGAAATCAAATGTATCAACCCATGGAGGTCTGGATTTGGAGTCACCCTCAAAATTAAAGTGGAAAACCACAATACAGGCTGATCCAACTTTGATGTAATGTCCTTAAAACAAGTCAAAATTAGGCTCAGTAGTGTGTGTGGCCTCCACGTGCCTGTATGACCTCCCTACAACGCCTGGGCATGCTCCTGATGAGGTGGCGGATGGTCTCCTGAGGGATCTCCTCCCAGACCTGGACTAAAGCATCCGCCAACTCCTGGACAGTCTGTGGTGCAACGTGGCGTTGGTGGATGGAGCGAGACATGATGTCCCAGATGTGCTCAACTGGATTCAGGTCTGGGGAACGGGCGGGCCAGTCCATAGCATCAATGCCTTCCTCTTGCAGGAACTGCTGACACACTCCAGCCACATGAGGTCTAGCATTGTCTTGCATTAGGAGGAACCCAGGGCCAACCGCACCAGCATATGGTCTCACAAGGGGTCTGAGGATCTCATCTCGGTACCTAATGGCAGTCAGGCTACCTATGGCGAGCACATGGAGGGCTGTGCGGCCCCCCAAAGAAATGCCACCCCACACCATGACTGACCCACCGCCAAACCGGTCATGCTGGAGGATGTTGCAGGCAGCAGAACGTTCTCCATGGCGTCTCCAGACTCTGTCACGTCTGTCACATATGCTCAGTGTGAACCTGCTTTCATCTGTGAAGAGCACAGGGCGCCAGGGGCAAATTTGCCAATCTTGGTGTTCTCTGGCAAATGCCAAACATCCTGCACGGTGTTGGGCTGTAAGCACAACCCCCACCTGTGGACGTCAGGCCCTCATACCACCCTCATGGAGTCTGTTTCTGACCGTTTGAGCAGACACATGCACATTTGTGGCCTGCTGGAGGTCATTTTGCAGGGCTCTGGCAGTGCTCCTCCTGCTCCTCCTTGCACAAAGGCGGAGGTAGCAGTCCTGCTGCTGGGTTGTTGCCCTCCTACGGCCTCCTCCACGTCTCCTGATGTACTGGCCTGTCTCATGGTAGCGCCTCCATGCTCTGGACACTACGCTGACAGACACAGCAAACCTTCTTGCCACAGCTCGCATTGATGTGCCATCCTGGATGAGCTGCACTACCTGAGCCACTTGTGTGGGTTGTAGACTCCGTCTCATGCTACTAGAGTGAAAGCACCTCCAGCATTAAAAAGTGACCAAAACATCAGCCAGGAAGCATAGGAACTGAGAAGTGGTCTGTGGTCACCACCTGCAAAACCAGTCCTTTATTGGGGGTGTCTTGCTAATTGCCTATAATTTCCACCTGTTGTCTATTCCATTTGCACAACAGAATGTGAAATTTATTGTCAATCAGTGTTGCTTCCTAAGTGGACAGTTTGATTTCACAGAAGTGTGATTGACTTGGAGTTACATTGTGTTGTTTAAGTGTTCCCTTTATTTTTTTGAGCAGGGTATTATGCCACGGTGACAGCTAAAGCACATTTATAGTAGGGATTTTCACCGAAAATGTACAACTACGGCAAAATGATTAACGTCTACATTTATTTATTTTTACTCCGCTAAAAACCGAATGATTCTAAACACTCTCCCAAATCCCAACTTGGACAGGAAAGTTTCAAATTCATGCTGAAGTTTCTAGCCACAATAATTAACTAGCTAGCTGGGGAGGGCTCATTAGGACAACTGACTGAACTAGCCTCCCCCGTGAGAACTAGGGCTATCGCTGAATGCAAGCCATTTCGATCTATTGTGTCCACAGGTCGATTTATAAACGGAAATGTCGGTCAAAACCGGTACCAGAACCACGCTAGTCCCCTCTTTAGGGGAATTTACATCTAACCTGGTTTTACACTGTGTTAAAGACATAACGTTAAGTCTTACCTTTACGGTGTATAGAGTATAGGGGTGTGAGCCGGTGCTGCGGTGCTCCTTGGCTGTCACAGCACCAGTGATTCTCAGGTTCTGGATGAGGACGGGTCCGTCTGGGCTGCTGAGGGGTTCGAAGCTGAATGGGGGTCAGACACAGCCCCCCCGGAGGGACAGGGCAGCGTGGGTGCAGCTCCTCTGCCATGCCCACTGGCCAGTGGGGCTGCTCGGATACCTGCACCTTAAGATTTTAGCAAAGCCATTCATAGCAATTTGTAACCTTATTTATTCTACATCAATGCTTTGTATTGTTTTATATTTATATACATTTTAAATAACTGTTTTTAAGAACATGTAGGAATGCTGAAAGACCAATAAACAAACAAACCTTGGGTCCCAGGACCTTCATGTTGCCGAAGCATCCAGGCGGCTCATCTTCAAACACACTGCAGAAGTTGGTAGGGGAGGCACAGTCACAGAAACTGTCTGTCTGGTCCTCCTCGGAGTCCATCTGGTCTAGGGACTCCACAGAGAGCTGTTTTGATTCTGTCGATGGGGACTCCAGGTCTGAGTCCACACCCTGACACAGGCGGCTGGCCACCGCTGCAGGACCTTAGCAGATCCATAGACACAGGACAACTGTTTATTCTGATCGATGGACCAATGCATGACATTGGCAGGATCGCTCCACAGTACTGCCGTGTTTCCTCCTTCAGATCTGGCTTTGCCATATGGTAGGACTCCATGGAGTCCAGGGAGTCTGGAGTGGCCGGCTTGGGAGGAGTGGGGCTGTTGCTGGACTCGTTCTGGTCTCTCTGAGTCTGGAGCCAGGAGGTAGAACGGGTCTGGGTCCAGAGCTCCTGCTGGGTCTGACTCCTGTGCAGCTGGACTAGAGTATCAGGGAGCTCATCGAGGGACTCATCCGGTGATTCTTTGGCTTTGGTGAACAAGTCCACAATGGTGAGGTTGAGCCAGTCAGGGTCGGACACCCTACTGACCAGTGGGAGGAGGACGTTACAGGTGATCAACTCCCCCACCATGTACCTCCCTGTCCTGGTCTCTAGGTGAGGGAACGGGACCAGGACTTGCATTAGGAGGTCCACTACGGCCCGGGAATAGCTGAGCTCCGTGGATGGACTAGCCAGGGCTGGGTGGGGGGCATCCGCCTGGCTATACAACTCCCACAGGCTGGGGGTGCTGGAGCTGTCTCTGTGCTGCATCCCCAGCCGTGCCTCCGCCTGCTTCATCATCTCCCTGGCTGTCATGTAGCTCTGCAGGTGGCAGCCACACAGCTCCAAGGTCCTCTGGACCAGCGCTCTCCTGTCCACGCGCCGAGCCCTCTCCTTCAGCTCCATCACTGAATCCAACATGGCGTCCCGCATAATGTGCTCAAACTCCCCCGGCCCCTCCTCCTCGGTCAGCATAGTGTGGTACCAGGATGACACAAAGTCCCGGACGGCTTTATGCACAGCGCTGTGGATCTCGTGGTCCAGCCTCCATTCGCTCTCAGGCGAGTGGAGGGCCTTCTCTGATCTACCCAAGGGGACGAAGTGCTCCAGGTGTAGCAGGCTGTTGGCATCCAGGGCAGCGCGGGACCCCAGCCAGCCACCCAGGACCACCAGCAGGCTGGTGAAGAGACAGAGGAGCCACACGTTCACCAGGAGGTGGAAGAGGACCATCCATGCTACTAGCACCCCCAACACCACAAGCCTCCGCTGGCCCAGTAACTCTGAGAGGGCCCAGGGATTAGGACCAGGACCCTCTGGTGGAGGCATTCCCCTCAGTGCTGACACCTGAGTTAAAAAGCAAGTAATAGAAATTAATGCACATCTCAAGCAAATATCCGTATACCATATTTTATGAGGACATTGGTGATTTCTTTCAGATAATATCATTTTAAATTAATAGACTTGATTTGCAGGGAGATAAACAGATACACACAGACCTGGGTTGAAAACAATCATTCAAAATGCACACTTCAAGCAATAGGCTAGTGGCAAGGCCCCCAAAATGTATAGATACCTCTACCTGAGGTATAAAAAAACACAACAATGTTTTTTCAAATCTATAAAGGTCTCTCATCTATTAAATGGATGGTTGTGTAAATATATTTTACTGCAAATGTGGTTAAATCGATAGATATTGTGACACACCCCCTAAACTCAAAAAGTGCAGAATAATGCCTGGCTGGAGGGGGGGATGTGCCACATAAGCTTACAGTGTGTAATTCAATATTGCAAGCTCTGATATTGCTCAAATTTGGAATACAAGTGTTGTCTGCAGCATGCTTCTTTGGAAATATACACCTGTAAACACAGAGATACAATAGGCGGAAATATGAACTATGGATATTTATGATGAATGTAAGCTTTACTTTTTGGTAGCTGAATAACAGACAACTTTCTAAATCAAATGTGCTCTCATTCAGTGCTGTGTGGGCCTGCCTGACAAAAAGATATATAGTTACATGGTTTTTGATGTTGTGGCTACTGTAATCGGCTCTAAAGAAAACAAGTGGGCTTAGACATCGATATTAAATGTTTTGGGCCCCAATGTTCCTTGAAAAAATGTATCTTTAGCCCCTACTCTAGCAATTAAGTCATGAGGCCGCCACAGATTATTGTTGGGGGTCACCCTGGATTTTACCTCAAATCCAATATGGCGTCCAAATTCCCAAAAGAATGCCATAATACCATTTGATGGAGGTCTCTCACTGTTCAAATAAACCTACCATTAAAATTATAGACTGATTATGTCTTTGTCAGTGGGCAAACATACAAAATCAGCAGGGGATCAAATACTTTTTTCCCCTCACTGTACATTTTATGGACACAGTCAATTTAACAATAATTCTATTTTGTTTGTTTTTACTCCTGAACTTCCTCTACCCTCAACCTCTCCGATCATTTTCATGATGTCCATCCGGTTTGCTTCTATATGCCATATCTTTCTAACTGTGCTCTTTCTCAAAAGCTCTCAACCTATAACCTATATACTTATTATGGACACAGTATGCTTACATTATTAGTTATCTTGTTGTTATTAGTTGTTGTTAGTTGTTATTAGTCCCATCCTTCAACTCCATTCAACACCACCCATCTTTCTCTTAACACCATCCATATTGGATTTCTATTTGCCATATATTTTTCAACTGTACTGTGATGTTTTACAAAAGTTCTGAACCTTTCTATTCTCATTGTTTATACAGATTGTAAATTGAAAATAAACATTTTTGCTAAAAGTATTATTATATTATTGATCGATTGACTATGACTTTTCAGATCACCCAGTAATGCTATCTGCAAGGTTAGCTCCAGGTAAATATTGCAATCCTTTAGCCATTCCTGGACCTGTGTACAAAAACAAGCTACAAATGGACAGTACCAAAACAAATGATCTAATGATTCTGTCTCTTCGCAGCAAAATATGCAGAGCTGGGAAGAGTGTATCCCCCATATAAATAACATTATATTGGTAGCAAGAATTTTATATAATAATTTAAATTGAAAAATTCAAAGTTTTGAATCCGGCGTCGTTTTGCGTATCAGTTCATAAACACTATGCCATGGGATCGGTACGTCAAAAATCTCTTCCCAACTATTTTGCAATCTATATGGGACGGCTGTCAATCCTTTGGTCCTTAAATGAAACTGGTATACTTTGTTATTTATCACAGTTTTCTTTAACCAATTATATTCTTTAATGCAAGGCCGACAGACAAGTTCCTTACATTTTCCCCCTTCCACTTTCCTCTTCCATTTTTGCGGTAATGCTGCAATTATTTGGTTGTAATTTTGGGTAGAGCAGACATTTCCATATGGTTTTGTTAGCTGCATGTGCGACATAACTCCACCAGTCCTACCGATGATATCATTTACGAAGATTATACCTTTTTTAAACATTTTGTCAAAAGAAAAAAATGTTTTTTAATCAATTAGTATATTTGAGTTTAACCACAATATTTGTTGCATTATTTGTTCTGTTGTTTCTGGAGGATTAAATTGAAATTGCAACCAACTTTCTATGGCTTGTTTTAGAAATAGTGATATTTGGGAGATGATTTCCTTTTCAAATAACTGAAAGTGTGAGGTTGTAATCTGAATAAAGGCCATTCTTGAACATTGGGTGAGACAATCTTACTAATTTGCTGGAGAACCAGTTCGGATTTAAGTATAACTTTTGTATGACTGAAGCTTTTAGTGATAGGTCTAATGCTTTAATATTTAATAATTTCTGTCCTCCGAATTCATATTCATTATATAAATAGGCCCGTTTAATTTTGTCTGGCTTGCCGTTCCAAATAAAATGGAATCTTTTTTTCTCATATAATTTAAAAAACTGTTCGCTAGGCGTAGGCAAGACCATAAGAAAATAGGTAAACTGGGATAATGCTAAAGAGTTAATCAAGGTGATTTTCCCACAAATTGACAGGTATTTACCTTTCCATGGTTGCAAGATGTTGTCTATTTTTGCTAACGTTCTATTAAAATGTATTGGAGTGAGATCATTTATTTCATTTGGGATATGTATTCCGAGTATATCCACATCACCATCAGACCATTTTATTGGTAAACTATATGGTAATGTAAAATGTTTATTTTTTAGTGATCCAATACGTAATATAGTACATTTATCATAATTTGGTTGTAATCCAGAGCGGTTAGAAAATGCATCTAGATCCTCTATGAGGCTGTGGAGGGATTCAAGTTGTGGATTTAAAAGAAAACATGAATCATCAGCGTACAATGACACTTTTGTTTTTAAGCCCTGGATTTCTAATCCTTTGATATTATTGTTGGATCTGATTTTAATAGCCAACATCTTGATGGCCATAATAAATAGATATGCCGATAGTGGACAACCTTGTTTCACTCCTCTTGACAGTTTAAAACTTTCTGAGAAATAGCCATTATTTACTATTTTACACCTAGGGTTATTATTCATGATTTTAACCCATTTTATAAGAGATACTCCAAAATTGAAAGGCTCCAGGCATTTATATATAAACCCCAGTCGTACTTTATCAAATGCCTTTTCGAAGTCTCCTATGAATAGCAGGCCTGGTTTCCCAGATTTTTCATAGTGTTCTATTGTTTCCAATACTTGCCTTATATTATCTCCAATGTATCTTCCATGTAAAAAACCTGTCTGATTAGAATAAATAATGTCCGACAATACCTTTTTAATTCTATGAGCTATACATTTTGCTAGAATTTTTGCATCACAACACTGAAGTGTAAGGGGCCTCCAATTTTTTCAATGGACTGGATCTTTTTTTTGTATTTTCCACTTGTATCCTGTTTCAGTAATAATGAAATCAGACCTTCTTCTTGAGTGTCTGATAATCTACCATTTACATAGGAGTGGTTAAAACATGCTAATAACGGTCCTCTGAGTATATCAAAAAAGGTTTGGTATACCTCGACTGGTATGCCATCCATCCCTGGAGTTTTCCCGGACTTAAAGTCTTTAATTGCATCCAGAAGTTCCTCCTCTGTAATTTCACCTTCACATCAGGCTGTTAATTTTACATTATCAATAGAAAAAAATCTCTACAATTAGCTTCAGTTAGAGGAGATGGAGGCGACTGAAACAAAAACATATGCTTAAAGTACTTTGTTTCCTCCTTCAAAACATCATTTGGTGAATCATGGGTGACTCCGGCATTTGTAACCAGTTTCAGTAAATTATTTTTGGTACCATCCCTAAATTAGTTAATAGACCAATTAGAAAGAGAGTTCCAAACCGCTCTGCCAATAACAGCTGAAGATTAAAAAAGGTATTTGGTGCATTTTTCCCCATATTCCATCCAGTTTGCTTTATTATTATAATATATTACACTTGATCTTTCTTGAATAAGTTTCTCCATTTCTTTTTGTTTTTCCTCTAATTTATTCTGAGCCTCTATGTTACAGTTTTTATTGCTATCTATCTGTTCTGTTAGACCTTCTATTTCCTTTGTTAGTATGGACTCTTTTGACCTAAATTTCTTTTGTTTTCGAGATGAGTACTGAATTGCATGGCCTCTAAAGGCACATTTTAAAGGTGTCCCATAGAATAAGGGGATTTGCTGTACCTATGTTATGTCTGAAGAAATCAGTTATGAATTCCTCTGTCCTAGTTAAAAACAAGTTATCATCCAATAGGCTTTGATTAAATTTCCAATATCCTCGCCCACGTGGAAATTCAGCAAGAGTAATGTATATGCCAATTATATGATGGTCCGACCGCATTCTGTCCCCTTTCAACACTTTTTAAACTTTTGGTGCCAACGAGAATGACATAAGAAAGAAGTCAAGACAACTAGCTTGATTGAGTCTCCGCCATGTATATCTCACTAGATCCAGATATTTCAGCCTCCATATATCTACTAGTTCTAATGTATCCATGACATTCATGATTTCCTTAAGAGCATGAGGGTGATTGTTTGTTGTGTGATTTCCTTTACGGTCCATTGAGCTATTTAAAATGGTATTATAATCTCCCACCATAATAATAGAGTCTTGAATTGCTTGCAGGGTTGATAATGTATTATATATATTGTCAAAGAAGTGTGGATCATCATTATTTGGTCCATAAAGGTTAATGAGCCATATCACATTTACATAAGTATTCAGACCCTTTACTCAGTGCTTTGTTGAAGCACCTTTGGCAGCGATTACAGCCTTGAGTCTTCTTGGGTATGACGCTACAAGCTTGGCACACCTGTATTTGGGGAGTTTCTCCCATTCTTTACATTTACATTTAAGTCTCTGCAGATCCTCTGAAGCTCTGT